TTTTCCAAAGCCAAAAAAACCTGCACACCTGAAATGTATGTAAACATTCGCTACTTACACAGTAAAAGTGTCTGAATTTGTGGGTTGCGTCCACCGTTTGAGGATCTTGCTCCTAAACAGTTGCCCAAAGGTGATGCGGAACATGCGATTCATGCAGCAGTAGAGAATGAAATTGATGGAGCCATTCAGAATGGCGCAAATGTCCATAATTTCCCCATAGTGCTGATAGCACGTTAAAAACAGCTCCTTTCCCTTCAGCGCAATCACCAGAGCGAACAGCCCTTGCGGCAATTCGGTGAGAAGAAACAGGAACAAAATCGCCACCAGCATTTTCGTTGTTCTATCGGCGCGTTTTTCGTATTTGCTCTGTTTCTTTGCGTTCTGTTCGTTGGCCATCAGCAAGTTGCTATCGTAGCTCTTCAGCACTCGTCGGCCTCGTTTCGCTTTGAACAACGTGCGGATCAGCCACAGGCTGATCACGATCAGGATCACGCAAGGGAGCAGCTTGAGGAATATGGAATAAGTCCAGAAGTTCACTTTCAGTAGGGGTTTGTAATTCTCGACAATGTCGCTCAAACCGACGCGATACAGCGTGTAAATCACTCCCAGTTCTTTGATCTTGATGCTTTCGATTTTGAATGTGGCGTATTGAGGCAGACATAGAAGGAATGGTAGAACGTAGCTGGCTGCAATGCCCACAGTGCAACGCAAGGGTGAGCATAGAACGTGGTTCTTTTCGCGGAATCTGAAAAGACGACAACATGCATTATACAGGGTGTCCCAAACAAAGTCACTGATTGATATCGCCGGGTACCTGATAGCTAGAAACCTCCAAATCGCCAACGTTAACGTCAAGCAAATGGAAGTGGTATGAAGAAATTGAGTGACGTGGATGTGAAACAGCACATAAACGGCCCCTCGATAAGACAGAGCCTTTTCTTCGGAATCCACCTTATCGTAGATCGTGAATGGAATGTATTCGACCATCAGCAACATGTCGGCCCATGCTAGCGCAGTCAGTATTCGGTTTATTGGTACCGCTGCCATCTCCTTCCTAGTCAGCACTATGATGTTCAGACAATTGGCCACTATTCCCAACACGCAAATGATCACCGAACAGTAGAAATGGTACTCGGAAGCATACGAGGTGGCGAACACCTTCAAACGGCCGCCACAATCCTCAGTCTCGTTCAGGTAGATCGTGTTGTTCGGGTCCATTTGTCCGTTTTTTTTGAAAATCTTCAGAACCTGATTGACCAGGCCGTTGGTCACGTTGTACCCTTGAGCGGTAAGCGTGGTTCTGATGTGGAGGCGAATAACCGTGTCATTGTTGTCGCTGGATAACATCCTGTCTGGTTACGAGCGTTTTCACTGCATTATCCTCAATGGGACTGAAAGAGAGCAAAGAGGAATTAGCTAGTTTTTCTTCTGCCGCTTGAGGAGACTTTTTCTGGCTGGTGTTCAGCAAAGAGCGAATTTACTTTGGATCGTCCTTTGAAAACGCGAGTCTAAAGAGTACTGGATGGAAAATGGTGCAGAGGAAAGATACTCCCACACAGCAAAATGATATTCCCAGAATATACCTGGAACATTTATGTGATGTACATGCATATTCCAGGGACATACATGAGTTACATTATGAACATTCCATGCATGTCCCAGGAATCTGTCAGAGTTAAAACACTGTATGTCCATGGTATGTTCAGTGAATGTACATGTGTATGTTCTGACAATGTACCTGGTATGTTCAGTGAATATACATGTGTATTTTCTGGGAATGTACGTGGTACGTTCAGTGAATGTATATGGTATGTTCAGGGAATATACATACATATATGTAACGAAAGAAAAACGATACTTTACTTCCTCTTATTAGTTTATTCACATATTTAACTATTTACTGATGCAATTTTTCAACAACAAGAGTTACTTGCAACTAATCTAAAACTAATTAAATGGATAATAAATAAATTAAAATATAACTTATAACTACGGACTAAAAATCTAAATTAACATTTTCAGCATTTTTGCCGTTGTCGCAATGATGTGGGACTGTGAGATAAAACACAAACCTTTATCTAAAAAACTGCACTTATTATTTTATATTCCCTACATGTTCCAGCTCTGTGGCTTTTGCCCTTTCATTTTGTTCTCGATTAATTAAAGTGCTTCGCAATGTGCTCTTAACAAAAATTCTATAAGCAATTACAAATTTAAATATTGGTCACAACAACAAAATACAGTTAATAGTTTTACATTGATAGAAGAGTATTTTCGTT